TGTCTGCAGATGACATGATAGTGTACATTGAAAATCCTATAGACTCCACCCCCAAACTACTCAGCCTATTAAATAAATGTGGCAAAACAGTGGGATACAAAGTCAATATCCAGAAATCAAAGGCATTTTTTATGCAACAATAAAACAGCAGAAGCAGAAATCAAGAAAAAAAAATCCCATTTGATATAGCAAAAATAAAAATAAAATGCCTAGAAAGAAACCTAACCAAGGAGGTAAAAGACCTATATGCAGAAAACTACTCAACACTGAAGAAAGAAATCAAGGAACACACAAACAAATGGAAACATATACTGTGTTCATGGATTGGAAGGATTAACACAATCAAAATGTCCATACTACCCAAAGCAATTTACAGATTCAATGCAATACCTATTAAAGTACCAATGGCATATTTCACATACATAGAACAAACACTTCAAAAATTTATATGGAATTATAAACAACCCCAAATAGCAGCTGCAATTTTGAGAAAGAAGAGCAAAGTAGAAGGAATCACAATACCTGATACCAAACTGTATTACAAGTCCACTGTAATCAAAACAGCCTGGTACTGGCATAAAAACAGGTACATAGACCAATTAAACAGAACAGAGAGCCCAGAAATAAACCCACATCTTTATGGTCAATTAATATTTGACAAAGTGGGCAGTAACATAAAATGGAGCAAAAATAGCCTCTTCAACACAGGGCTTTGCAAGAACTGGACAGCTATGTGCAAAAAAAGAAAGAAAGGAAGAAAGAAAGGAAGAAAGAAAGAAAGAAAGAAAGGAAGGAAGGAAGGAAGGAAGGAAGGAAGGAAGGAAGGAAGAAAGAAAGAAAGAAAGAAAGAAAGAAAGAAAGAAAGAAAGAAAGAAAGAAATTTGAGCACAAGTTACACCATACACCAAAATAAATTCAAGGTGGATAAAAGACTTAAATATAAGCTGTGACACTGATAAAGACCTAGAGGAGAACATAGGCAGGAAAAATCTCATGTATTTCATGCAGCAACATTTTTAGTGACATGTCCCTAGAGCAAGGGACATAAAGGAAAGAATAAACACATGGGAGCTCATCAAAATATAAAGCTTCTGCATGGCTAAAGAAAACAGTATTAAAATAAAAGGAGAACCAACTGTATGGGAAAATATATTTGCCCATGATACCTCAGACAAGGGTTTAATCTCCAAAATATACAAAGAACTTACATGACTCTACTCTAAGAAGAGAAGCAACCCAATTGAAAAGTGGGCAAGGGACTTGAACAGATACTCTTCCAAGGAGGATATACAGAGGATTCAAAGACACATGAAAAGAAATTCAATATCGCTAGCTATCAGAGAGATGCAAATGAAAACCACAATGAGATACCACTTCACACCAGTCAGAATGGCCATCACAAACAAAGCAACAAACAACCAGTGTTGGAGAGGTTGTGGAGAAGGGGACTTTAGTTCACTGTTGGTGGGATTGCAGACTGGTACAACCACTATGGAAAAAAGTATGGAATTTTCTCAGGAAATTAAAAATGGATCTGCCTTTTTACCCAACCATTCTACTGCTAGGATTATATCCTTAGAACCCTGAAACACCAATCCAAAAGAAACTATGTACCTCAATAGTCAAAGCAGCACAATCTACAATAGCCAAGTATTGGAAGCAACCTAAGTGCTCATCAGTAAATGAATGGATCAGAAAATTATGGTACATTTTCACAATGGAATTCTATGCAGCAGGAAAGAAAGAAGGAGCTTCTACCCTTTGCAACAGCATGGATAGAACTGGAAAGCATTATGCTGAGTGAAATAAGCCATGAAGTGGAAGACAAATACCATATGATCTCACCTTTAACAGGAAGCTAAAGAACAAAACAAACAATCAAGCAAAATATAACCAAAGACACTTAAACAGAGAACAGGCTGACAGTGTCCAGAGGGGAGGGAATTTCACAGGAAAGGGGGAAGGGTTTACAGGAACAAGTTTAAAGGACACATGGACAAAAACTAAAGTGGGTGGAAATGGGAGGGAGGTAGGGAGCACTGTTGGGGAGTGGGCTGGGATGGGAGTAAAAGACAGAAAACTGTGCTTGAACAAAAATTAAAATAAATAAATTTTTAAAAATTTATCAAAGGAAAATGATAAATATGACTTATCAAAATTAAAAGTTTTTTCTGTGAAAGTACCTATTAAAAGAATGAAAAGACAAGCAACAATGTGGAGAAAATATTTGCAAATCACCCATCAAAGAGCTCGTATTTAGAATAAATTAAAAACTCCCAAACCTCGACAGCAAGAAAATGAAAACAAAACAAAAAAACAAAACACAATGCAATTGGAAAATGGGCAAAAGACACGAAGAAACATTTCACTGAATGGATATAGAAATGGCAAAAAAGCCCATGAAAAGGTGTTCGAAAATTAAGAAAATGCATATTAAAACCATGATGAGATAGCAAATACACCAATCAGAATGACTAAAAAACAAAACAAAACAAATCAAATCAAAACAGTAACACTACCAAATGCTGGCCAGGACATGGAAAAAACTGGGTGACTCATCCATTGCTGGTGAGAATGCAAATGGTACCGCCATTTTGGAAAATTATTTGGCAGTTTTTTTAAAACACTAATCTACCTTATGACCAAACAGTTGCACTCCTGGGTATTTATCCCAGAGAAATGAATATTTATGTTCACATAAAGACCTCTGCATGAATATTTACAGCGCCTTTAGTTGTAAGGGCCCTAAACTGGAAATAACCAAAATGTTTTTAAATGGATAAATGCATAATTAAACAAATTGTGGTACATCCTTAATGCTGACTACTATTTAGGAATAAAAAGAAACAAAATATGATACATGCACCACCCTGGATGAATCTCCCATGAATTATGCTGAATGAAAAAAAGCCATTTATAAGAGGTTATAATAGTGCATGATTTTTTCTCATATAACATTTATGAAATGATAAAGTTACAGAAATGAAGATCAAATAGTGGTTGCCAGGGGCTAAGAAAGGGTTGGGGTGGGTAGGAAGTGGATGTGGCCATACAAGGGCAACCAGAGGAATCCTGATGGTGATGGAGTGGGCTGTCTTCACTGTATCCATGTAAATATCCAGGTTGTACCTTATAGAAATGGTTTGACAAGATGTTACCACTGGGAGAAAATGGGTGAAGAGTATTACAGGATTTCTCTGTATCACTTCTCAACACTACAATGATCTCAAAATAAAAAGTTTAATTAAAAACACAACAAAACATAAGACATTGATGATTGGGACCCTACAGGAGACCATTCTGCATGGCGTGGGCCCAGCTACCACTCAGAGATGCACAGGACCCACGCCTATGGATAGGTTCTCCCTTGGGGAATCGGGCCTGCATTGTACCTAGGCTGCTTCGAGACTTGCTTTTGCTAAAATTCCCTCACCCTGAATTGAGACAAAAGTGCTTACTGTAACTTCCTAAAATCCATGCTAAAACTCCCCAATATGGAGTGCAACCAGTTCAACCACTTTTCCCTTTTCATTTGCAAATATCCTTCTTCTGTGATGTGATTAGCGGCCATGACTCCTTTGTTTTCTGTAACAGGTAACCATTTAAAGCCAACCAGGGCATAGTAAATGAGGACCATCATATAATGTGCCAGAAAACCCAATAAAGGCTGGTCACAGCAAGGGCTTTGGCTTTTTCTCCCCTTGAGAGAAAAACCATGCTGTCCCTTTTCCTACACAGGACTCGGTAGTCCATATGAATTGATCTCATTCACAATGTGGTGGACCCCATGAGCTGGGGTCCACATAAGGACCCATCTCACACCAATTACATCAGGATCCTGGGGCAGATGCATAGAGGGATCTAGTGTTAAGACTCTCCAAGTAACTAATATTCACCCAGGGCTGGGTGCTGCTGGTCTAAGGTTCTCAGTGGCACCGTGGGGTTGCCCATGAGAAGGTGGCTGAGTACCCAGGGCTTCAGGCTCTTTACCTTCCCAGTCTCACTGGAGGGGCTCCTTTTTCCTAAAATTAATTTGAAAAATCTGTCCCTTGGAGCCTGTAGTCTGTAGGCTCCAAGGGAGTCTGTAGGCTCTTAAAATGCAGACATCTTTGGAATAGAGAAGAGCTTTCTAGGGTGATAAAGTACAAATCTCAAACTCTCTTCCACTTGGCAGCTGATGGTGACCAAACATGTAAGCTTGATAAGACTGACCCTAGGGCATACCACATTTTAGCAGATAGCTGAGTAGAGTTCTTGACCTCTTGAGCTTACCCTCGGTAGTTATTTCTGACCAAGACAGCATACAAACCAGCAAGCCTACTCTTAGCTGAGTGTGCTGAGCTTGGCTCAAGTGGAGAAATGAGTAGGAGCCAGGCTCTACTCCAGCTGCCTGGGGCAGATGAGGCAGTCAGTGAAGGCAGCCAGTGAGACAATACCAAGTGGCCAGAGGAAGCTGGGGAGAATTCCCTAGCCTCAGTGAGGAAGGTTTTATATCTGGGTGAATAAGAAGGTATCTCTATGAGGGGATACCTCCTGTCATACAGGATGAGCTTCTAGAGGGGAGGGGAAGGGAAGCTATCACTGGATAATGATGATTATCAAAGATTTCAAAGATGATATTGCCAATAGAGAGATATCATCTGGAGGGCACGAGGGGACAACAAGCCCCTTCTCTAGAGCACTTGGGTGTTCTGACTCCATGTGTCCTTTCAGAGAGGCCCTGGGGTGAATGTTAGCTCCTTATCTTGTGAGGGAAAGGTGATGGGAAATACTGGGCAGATGTGTTAACACAGCTTGGACTCAAATTATATGTCCTTCCACCCTGAAATCAGTTCAGCCTGATGAGGAGCATGACAAGTTGGATGGGTGACTTTTTTCAGACCCCTTCGAGGAGCATCAGGACTCTGGGCAGAGCCTCCTTCTCCTTGTCAGTGGTCAGAAGAAAGTCCTGGGGAAAGACCTGGGGTGAGTGTCTTGCCAAACACTACTCTTATTCTTACCTTCGACAACTCCACATATGTTGGCATACATATCCAATATCTTTTTCCTTCGACTTTGAATCTATGAAAAAAGTAAAGAGAATGTTAATTTTCAGAAAGGGGGAAATGGTAGCAGACAACAAACTAAGCACTCCATCTCAGTGTTGGCAGATAGCTGATCTCCCCTGATTTCCAATCAGAAATGTTGAATCAAGTCCCCACATGAACATCTTATCCTTAATTCAGAGAGAAAGCCTTTCTTTGGGGTTATCGAAGTCAAGCACCTCCAATGCCCGTTGGTGGGGCTGCTTAGGTTCCACTGGACATTTAGACTCACAAGACAACCAGAGACCACATCTGGCATTTGTCTATTTGGAAGGATAAATGTTGAGGACCCCAGCCGGTTGGCAGCCAAGAAATGAATCCCATGATGGACAGGTGCAGAAGTGGCCCTGCTTGAAAGGTCCCAGGCTCTGGAACCGATACCTCTCATAAGCACTCCATAGGCCTTCAGGCTTCTGCAGGTGACAAGCCCCACTTCAGAGATCACTGAACTAGGCAGCACAGAGCATGATGTCCCCATGAGAACCCAGGCCAGATCCAGCCTCTCAATCAGGAACACTTTTGCCAAGAACATCATTTCCTAGCAACTTAGTTGACCTGATGCTTGGATCTAGCTGCCAGTGAACCACATGCTAGACATTCAGACACCCTGGGAAGGGCTTGGCTCACCTTTGCCCACACCCCTACCATGGTATGTTCCAAAGTGGGCTGCTTCAGCTGACAAACCTAGTGGAGCATTTTTACATGAAAAATGTGCATACTATGTCTATATATAGTTATGTATACATATACTATATACATAAGTATATAGTTATATTTAACTATTATATGTTGGCTTGGATATAGGCCAGTAAATTTAAGAAGGTTTTTTTTTTCTGTCCTATGGCATTGCAAATAATTTAAACTTTTTGTCTTATTATTTTTCATTTTCTTCTATAAAGCTATATATGAGAAGTAAGTTTTCTATTTTTTAAATATCTTGCTTTAAACATGTCACTCCATCTAGGTTTCCTGGCTGGGGCTGTGGGAGGAATACCACACTATCCAACAGCACAGTAAATCAGAAGGTGGATGGCCGGGCTGCCAGAACCTCACCCCAGCTGTTTTTGTGGTGGTGGCAGACTTCTCCCTGGCTAGGTGGACCAGTGACAGCAAGCACAGCTCAGCGGAGCCCTGCTTCTCAGTGGCAGTCTCCTCATCACTGTCCATGCTTCGACTCAGCAGCTGCTCATTCTCAGATGAGGCATCATTCTCGCTGTGGAAACAAGAAGGGGGCTCATTCATGGTGTCTGGGAAGTTGCAGCCTGGACATATCCTTCCATTGAGGGGCACGGTTGGGATACAGAGACTTGTTTCTTAAGCTTTCACTAAGCAGACTGTGGGGCAGGGGGCATGGGACACAAAATGAAAGGGACATAGACTGTTCTCTATTCCTTTTCAGACATGGAAGTTGAATACAGGGTGGCCCACAGATGCTGTGCTCATTCTTACATTCCACCCAGTTCAAGAAAGTGTTCTTGAATGTGTTATAGCTTTATGTATGCCATTCAGAGAAATGCAAAGTTTAACCTTGTAGCAAACAAGTTTATGTGGCTGGCATGCCAACTCTCCAGAATAACTAAAACCAAAACTGACCAGAGCCTGAGCCTCACCTTGACTAGGGAGTACCCTAGCTGGGATGTGTGTGCCATGGGGTGAGGGTGCCGCCAGCACAGAGAGGGGCATTGGGAGATCACACAGGAGGGCAGGTGGGCCTAGTCACACTGTTGCTCATGGCCCATGCCCATGGCCCAAGGCACATGTGGGTTGAAGCTTGAACTCTCAAAATCTTTCTAAATATATGAAAATGTTCTTTTTTGATAAGCATCCTTCTTGTTTCTTGTGGTTTGGCTAAAGAAGTATCTTTGCTGGTAACTGGATTATAGTAATGAAGCCCACACTGAACGTAACTCTAGAGACAGAAGAATATAAAGAAAACAAAAATATAGATCTGGCTGGTATAGCTCAGTAGATTGAGCACGGGCCTGTGAACCAAAGGATCATGGTTCTATTCCCAGTCAGGGCACATGCCTGGGTTGCAGGCCAGCTCCCAGTGGGGGATGAATGAGAGGCAACCATACATTGATATTTCTTTCCCTCTCTCCTTCCCTTCCCTAAGAGCTTAAAAAAAGAAAAAAATAAAAATGGTGGGTAGGACTCAGGAGATTTCAGGCCTCTTGGGAGGTGATAGCCTACTGTTATCCCCACCAGAGAGCAAGCCAGGTGGAAAAGCACCACTGTCCCCAGACCACTGAGTGGCCTAAAGGTCCTTTCCCTAAGACCTGAGAGAAGGCAGACAGGATGAAATCTCAGCGCCTTGTCTTTTAAAAAACAATGGTTGAGTGTTAATTTTTATTTAACATTCATGTATGAAATAAGCATGATTTTTCCAAGTAGAGTCCCCAATTATTTTCTCAGTCATTAGAGGAAACTTAAGTCATAGGATGCATCCCTGTGATTTGAGTGTTCTTTTATATCCTCCTTTTGGGAATGAGAAAAGGCTGGAAGGACAGGTGGAGAGAGGCTGACATAACATGGGATTAGACAGATGAAGTCTGGAGGGGCAATTCATTTCCAAGAGGCACATTGAAGAACCAAGCTCCCACCACAAAGCTGCAAGCCTGGGTTCTATCCTGGTAACAGCAGCTTGGACCTGGCACATACTTCCCAGATGTGCATGAAGTTGCTCAGACCACAAATTCATGAGGTTTTGAAAAATGTTCATGGGTAACAGAGGCACTTAACAGGAATACCATTTTCTAAGGGACTGCCAAGTTCCACACAATTGCTTTTCTTTCCCAGTATGTAAAGATTTCATGATTTAAATTTATTTCTGGCCCTTGTATCAGGAATGTGGAGTTTTCCAAATGAAATAACATGTTTGGTGGTGCTTTATATATGCCAAAGCTCTATGTAAACATTTGGATTCATTATCATTCCTAAGAAGCACAGCTTTACAAGAGTTCACATACCCTAGAAACATCACAGGCTGGGAGTGAGGAGAGGAGGGATTTACCCTCTGCTCTTTCTGTAGCCAGTTTGGTGACTTCTCATGGCCTCTGTGTCCCCTTCTGCAACAGGGATATTTGAGTGGATGGGGTCCTGGAACAACCATGGGGTGGACCATTAACATGGGATGGGTTTTTGGAACCTAAATAGGAATAAGTCCAAATGACCACATAAGGGGGCAAATAAAAAGTTACTTCTTTTAACCCTAGATGTTAAAGCTGGGGCTGATTCCATATCTCAACTTGTATGTGTGCATGTGGTAAATATGCTAAAGACTTCATGTGTCAAATCTCTTCCTGAAGAGGCCCTATTTCACTAAGTGTTGGTGGTTGGCCAGAGCCTATGGAACACACACTGGAGTCAGGGCCTGAACTCAGCCCCAAGCCCTGCCACTCACTGGCCATTCAACCATAGGCACATGACAACTTCTAAACCTCAACTTCCTACAAAAGTATATAATGTTAAAACCTTGTTCATAGGGCTTATAAAAACCCTTTGAGTAACACATTCATGAGTAGTGAGTAATCAGCACCAAATGTTGGGTAGCCATCTTTATCACCACTGTCAGTGTATTATAGGGACATCAGCTCAAGCTTTGGCACTGTGCTGTCAGTATTTGCATGGGGAGCAGCAGCAGGAATATTACCAAGGCTGCTGGAGAGGAAGTGCCCATACAGAAGCCTTGGAGTCTGCACGAGAAAGGTTGTTGCATCAAAGGATGTTGAAGAGAAAGGATGTTGGAACATCTGACCCTGGAGAAAGGGAGGGGGCTGCCAACCCGGAAAGGCTGGCAGGTGTTGAGTACCTGTCCCTAATACTACCTGGTCCCAGCTTCAGGTCAACAGTGAGGCTGTGACCCCATGCTGACTGGGACTGCCTTGCTGGTCCCTGGGGCCTTGTTCCCTCTGGAGTCGTCCCCAGCACAACCTCCAGGCCAGTAGACAGGTTTCTCAGTACACTTCTCACCTGGCATGGCTAGCTCCCCTTCTTATTCAGGATCCCCGAGGACCTCCTCACTTTATTTCCAGCCTGGAACTGGGGGCTGTTGCGATCTGCTTTGGTTTGACCTACCTCTTGACATTCTTTGCTGGAACTGCTGCTAGCTTCTCAAATTCATCCTTCTCTGAGAAAATCACCACACTGTCTATAGGCAAATAGGAAGATTGGGAGAGAGAGGAGTTAAGAGTTGGCTCCAGCTTTGAGCTTGTCCTTCCACCACTCACTTCCTCTCTAGCAGACCTACTTGGTGCTAAACCACAATACCTAAAGGGTTAAATACAACATGGCTTCACTGACACCCCTTCCTCTGACTCCTGTGCTGAGTGGCAGAGAGCATAGCCAGTTAGAAGGCCAGGCTGCTGGGATAGTGGCAAAGGGGCAAAAAGTCTCCACCCTGGAGATGGACAACCACACTTGTGGGGACTCTGCAGACCTGGAACCTCCTTTTTGTCCTCTTCCTTGCTCACTTGAGCTTCCACACTCTTCACTGGGTGGCTGGTGCAGCAGGCTAATTGGAGAAAGAGAAGTGTGTGAGCAGCCAGGCTCACTGACTGGGTAGGTTGCTGGAGCTGTTCAAGGGGGAGGGGATATGGGGCAGACATTGAGGAGCAGTCACCTGGGGCAGAAGGCTTTGTCTTCATGATGTAGAACATGATGATGAGGACAATGGCAATGGCCATGATGAAGATGGTGGACATGGCAATGATCAGAGCTGTGGCCAGGTGTCCTTGGCCTGAGAGCTCTGCTGAAGTTGGGAAGAGAAGGTAATGACTTAGGGTAAAAGAGTACCTACAGGAACCCATCTATCAGGCAGGGCCCTTTCTCCTTTAAGACTGCAGCCCCTGTAAGTAATGTTCCTACCTTTGGGACAGTTTCTGGGGGACCCTCAGAAACCAAAATGCTTGCTTAGTCTCAGAACCCAGCTCTACAAGTTTATTTTGGCCACCTCATCAGGACTGCCCATGAACTCCCCTTGTTTGTCTCAACTGAGGTAGAACCAGACTTCTCTTGAGTGCCATAATTTGGATATGTTCAATTGTTTCCTGGGCTTGCCCTTGGTTCTACTATTTTGGAAACCTGAAATGCATGCTTAGTGCACCATGAGTATCTGAAGGAAGTCCAGGCCTTAAATATGCTTAAACAGATGCCACTGAGACAGTGCAAGAGGGAGGGAGGAGCCATTATGAGGTCTTGCTCTTAAAAAACTGTGGACCTTGCAGGTCCTTCTCCATCCTTCCATCCCAAAGGAATTGGGGAGTGGAGTGAAATATAGTTAATTGAAAATAGATAGTAAAGTGTTGAGAGCAGCAGGTTTATATGAAAGCCAGCAATGGAATTGCTGCTGACACCAGGGCTGGCCAAAGCCCAGGAAGCTACAGAAGCCGCTCCTCTCCTGCCTTCACCACTCTTGTCCTGAGCACACAGTCCTGGCACCCTGGGAATGTGCCTTTATTACCAACATACTCTAATGGGCCCAGGACACCCATGGAGTGATTGGCTCTGCTCCTTTAAGAGACAGTACTAACTTCCAGCAACTGGGGTATTGAGTGTGATTCAATCACATTGGGGTAGTGATCTGAAGTGGAGAAGAGCTTCATGGTCACTTCTAATAATTCCTTCCTCTTCAGTCCTCCCCCTTAGATCTAGGTGGTAACTCCAGAATATCAAACCTAGGCAGCCTGCCTACCTTTATGGGCATGCTGGAGAGGAGGGAGGGTGCTGCTGCCAGCAGTGCTGGGGAAGTTGGCAGAGACCCTCAAGGTGGCTCCCGCACCTGCAAGGAGAACAGTGCATTTCTCAGGATGGCCTGCAGAGGATCCACCATTAACACTGGAACACCTGGTGTGACAATGTAGCTGCTAATCTAAAATTCCACATTAGGAATGGGCTGAAGAGGGGCCTGAATAATATATGCTATATGAGTTATACAAGTAACATATGCTTATTATTTAAAAAACCAGAACACAAGAAAGAAGTTAAAAAAAATCACCCACAACCTCTGTCTAAATTTAACATTTTGGTGGCCCTTTCTCTACGATTTTTGCTATGATACATTTTAAAAATAGTTGTGAACAAACTGTCTAAGAGTGGGCATGAGCTTGGTCTTCTTTCAAAACTGTGACTCATAAAAACTCCTGTTCTATGTAAAAAGTCTTACTTAGCAGGAATAAAATGAGAGCTGGTTTTGTGATCAGACAATTTTTTAAACTATTCAGTTAAAATAAACAAACAAAAATATTCTACCATGGAAAAGACATTCTGATGGTGAACTTTCCTTTAGCCAAACTTGAGTTTTGCAGTTAATAAAAATGATCATGTTTCAAATGAGTTTCCTCCTGTCTTGCTTTTACCTCCTCCAGTTCTGGAGTAACTGGAAAAATGGTTTTGCCCTCAGTGATAGGTGAGTGTCCTTTGTAAACTCCACATATTTCAGGCTTTTCAGTAGCCCAGCCAGGAGATACAGCCCTGACACTGGACCCGGGACAGCAAGGCTTTTGTGAGAAACAGGGCTGTTTTCTGTAACAGAAGGTTCTCAGGAGAAACACAGCCACTTGCCCTGTGAGTGGTATTTCTAAAGCCCCCTGTACACATAGCTTGGAGAAACCAATGAGACAATGACCACAGCCAACTTGGCAAGAAAAGTTCTCCGAAATATCCACACTTCTGTGGCCAGTAGGTAGAGAAAGTCAAAGGAGAGACCAGGATCAGAAACTTTTGATCTTCATACCTTTGAAAACAAATAGAAATTCTACAAATAAAATTGGCAGAAATCTATAAAGAACTCACATGACTCCACTCTAAAAGATCAAGCAACCCAATTGAAAAATGGGCAAGGGGCTTGAACAAACACTTCTTCAAGGACATACAGAGGATCCAGAGACACATGAAAAGATGCTCAGTATCGCTAGCTATCAGAGAGATGCAAACGAAAACCACAATGAGATACCACTTCACACCAGTCAGAATGGCCCTTATAAACAAAGCAACAAACAACCAGTGTTAGAGAGGTTGTGGAGAAAAGGGGACTTTAGTTCACTGTTGGTGGGATTGCAGACTGGTACAACCACTATGGAAAAAAGTATGAAATTTTCTCAGAAAATTAAAAATAGATCTGCCTTTTGACCCAGCAATTCTACTGCTGGGATTATATCCTAAGAATCCCAAAACACCAATCCAAAGGAACCTATGCACCTCAATATTCACAGCAGCACAATTTGCAGTGTCCAAGTGTTGGAAGCAACCTAGGTGCCCATCAGCAAATGAATGGATTAAAAATTTATGGTACATTTACACTATGGAATTCTATGCAGCAAAAAGAAAGAAGGAGCTCCTACCCTTCCTGACAGCATGGATGGAACTGGAAAGCATTATGCTGAGTGAAATAAGCCAGGCAGTGAAAGACAAATACCGTATGATCTCACCTTTAACAGGAACCTAATCAACAAAACAAACAAACAAGCAAGCAAAATATAACCAAAGACGCTGAAGTTGGGAACAGGCTGACAGTGACCAGAGGGGAGAGGGGAAGGAATTTCAGGAGAATCAGGGAAGGGTTTGAAGGAACTAGTATGGAGGACACATGGACAATAACAAGGGAGGGGTGGGGATGGGAGGGAGGTGGGAAGGGATGGTGGGGTGAACTGGGATGGAAATAGAGGGCAGAAAACTATACTTGAACAATAAAAAAAACTGGATGGCAGCCCTGGCTGGTGTGGCTCAGTGGCTGAATGCCAGCCTGTGAACCAAAAGATCACCAGTTCAATTCTCAGTCAAGGCACATGCCTGGGTTGTGGGCCAGGTCCCCAGTAGGGCACACATGGGAGGCAAATATTCATTGGTGTTTCTCTCCCTCTCTAAAATATAAATAAAATCTTAAAAAAAATTGGATGTCAGTCTGGGAAAAATAAGCTGAAGCCTGACTCCTGGTGTAATTTCATTTCTATTAGGTGTCACAGTGCCAGGGTCAGCCAGTTGCTCAGGTAAGACAGGAAATTAAACTATCACAGGTACATAAGAAATGCAATTTGCTGCCTGAGGGGCCAACAGGCAGGTTTTTTAGGAAGCACTGCAAGGTGTGATGGTTCATACCCTCCTCAACACTGGACAGGGGCTTGCCCTGGGGAGGGTGGGCAAGGCAAGTGTGCTTGTTCCTGGTGCCATCCTACTGCCCTTCTAGCTCATACTCAGAGAAGTTTTCCATGTTGTTTCCTCAGGGTGGGTGCTGCTTGAAACATGGGTGTGGGCGTCACACAGACCACCACAGAATTGGGTGGGTCAGTCTTTTCCTTCTGCAGGGCATGATGAGTTCTGTAGTTTCCACTTCTTTCCTTCTTTTTTCTCAACTGCTATCATTGGGATGATTTCTTAGCTCTCCTACCAAGAGAGGGAGGGGTGCTAAGAGGTATAAGGGACACTAAGGTAACAAGTCAGCATGGGCTACCCTCTGAATCAACAGAGATCCTAGAAGTGATCTGCTCAGAACAGAGTGGGGCTCATTGGACGCCCCCACCTTGTGTCCCCAGGGCCTCCCCGATTTTTCTGTAATTGCTGGTGGGTGTGAGGGCAGGAAGCTGGGAAATGGGACATCAGAACTGGTGGGTGTTTGGAGGAGGGTAATAGCTGAAAAGTGTAGCTCTTTTTTCTTTCTCTCCTATGCCTTCTAGAACCTGCCTTGCTCTGAGAATGCACCTCCCCACCCTGCTTGTGTCTGGAGCTTAGAGAGATGTTTCTTTGTCTTTCTGGAGAATACCTAGCTTCTCCCACCCACCAAATTTAGATGAGATTAAATTAATTTAGTCTTCTCACCTGGCCTTAGAATCAGTAGCCTACCAGGGTGGTGTTGGTGAAGGTGTGTGCTCCCTGAAGAGGGGTTAATGTCTCTCAATAGCTGCTCCCAGTGACAAGACCAATCTGGAGGTTTGCCTTTCATTCCTCACACACCACAGAGATTCCCTTTGAAAGTTCCAGAATGATAACATGGACTTCAGATTTTTAGCCCTGATTGCATTGAGCTGGGAAGCAGCCTATCAAATTTTATCTAGTGAAGTGAGAAAAAAGAATATGGGGCATAGCTTCAAGAAAATTGGACATTGAAACCATAGCTATTCTACATGTTTGTTATGGGACTCAAAGGAGCTTAAGCTATGTAGTCAGGAAAAGACTACCTGTGGGCTCTATTTGTGCATGTTTGTCACCTGTCTCTCTTGTCCATTTCTGCCAGGGCTTGCTGGCTGGGGCTGCGTGACAGAAGTTGGGGTAAGGGACAAAAATACAGCCTGGCCTGTGGTCTAGAGTGGGTCAGTAAGAATAGCCCAGCAGCATGCTAACTTAAAAAAAGTTTTTGCACCTGACTGGTAGGGCTGGTTACACATGGACATCACCAGACAGTGGGTGCAGGCTATTGCATCAGTAAAGCTTACCTCACTACACCTGGCAGGCACTGGCCTATCCTTGGTCAGGTGGCAAGCCAGACTGTGCCTCCACCCTGATTTTCTGGACATTTCCCTCCACAGTGAACTCCATCTGATATTAACTGAACAGCCTGGCACATCTGAAGATACACAGGAAAAATGGGCAGGGAGGCTGTATCACTAGAGGTCTACCTTTGGGGTAGGTACCCTCAGGACAGCATGCTATTGCTACCATGACTCTGCACAGCATGGTGTCCTGCTCCAGATTCTGTTGTGGTTTGATGAGGATTAACTTAGCACTAACAAAACTATTTGGTGTCTGTGAGGTTTCCCTTTGCTCAAACATAGGCTGTGTCTTTCCAGTTCACTTGGCCTCCTTGGAATGGATCATTGAAGACAATGTTTCTCAGTGTTGTTTCTATTAGGTGGTCAACTACTAACTCATCTTGCCTTCCATAATGCTTGGGGCCAAGATTTGAATAAGCAAAGAGGAGATATTTTATAAAAAGGTAAGGGAAGGTTGTTCAAAAGAGTAGTCCCAGAAAATAAGCAGAAATTTCCACACAAGATCTCTATTAAAACAAAAGAAAATGGAGACTGAGTATGAGGCAGCACTGACTCTAGATAGAAGGTATAGGCAGGTGGAGACCCTGTGGGAAGTACGCTCACCTTTCTCAGGAGGATTCTGAGAACTATGAGCATATGGCTTCATGCAGTTAGACCTCTATTCAATGTAATAAGGGAGTTTACTCAGAGACTTTGAGGCTTGTTAATCCACATGGTTTATAAATGTGCTGGTGTGTATTAAAGGTGGCTGGCATATAACAAACGGCTTGGGTTTCCAGGAATGATTTGTTTGTTGCCTCTTACAGCAGTCAGTGAGGGTGTCTGAGTCTGTTGCATTGGCTCAGCGCCCCATACTGGCGGACGCTGGAACAATGGGCAGAGCTACTGGAACTTGGCTGCTTAAAGTGAGGTCCTGGGGAGCTTGCTGGTAAGGGAGTTTTTGAACCCACCCAGACCTGCTGCAGCAGGACATGTTTCTTAACAGGACTCCTGGTGATGTTGTGACAGATTGAAATGCTTGCTTTATTATACTTTAGTCTAACCTGCATTTCTCCTGTGGCCCTCAGGCTAAGAGCCCCTGCTACACATATGGGCCTTATTAGAGGAATTCTAGTTGAGTTTTTAGAGGAACAGCCTCTTACCAGGGGGTGCCTCTCCTTGGGAGGTGAGAAAATGTGTACAAGGATGGTGACTGCTTATAGATTTGCAGGAGCCTCAAGGATGACTCAGATTAGCAGAAATACTAAGTAAGAGATTTAGAGATTTCATACTTTTCCTTGTTAGTAGCCAGATGCCTTCAGTGCTCAATTATCTCTTGTTCCTGCCATTCTCCCTTCCATTCCCATAAAAGACTCCTAAATTCTGGGCTGTCAGAAGATGGATTTGAGGAACCATCTTCTTGAGTGAGAGCCTTCTCAATCAATACCATTTTCCTTACTCCAAAACCTGATGTTTTGAAGGTTGGCCTTCTGCAGTGTCTTTGAATTGGTGACAGTGAGTGCACACATTCAAATTTGAGAAACATTGCTTTGGAAACAGCTGGAAACTGGCATTTGGGGAGGTCAACATTTCACACTGGAGTTTCATCACTGTTGGGCACCACACCATAGCATCTAGAGGGAAACACATCACTCCTGGTGATAGAGTGGAATTCTCTAGAAGGTGAGTCCATCTTGGACTTGACTCAGGGGTCATAGTCACTGATGAATGATTACAAAAATATTGACAATGACAAGGGCACAACTTCTGGGTGCCAGGCATATCCTTATCTCATGTATTACTCCAGTATTCTGTGAGGGAGGGATTCATGCTATCTGCATCCCAGGTGAACTGACAAGGCACAAGAGGCCACTGAGCAAGGGGGAGCTGCACAGGCCCCAGGAGGCCTGGTTGCTGCTCACTCATGAGGCTGAAGCTTTATCATATACTAAGTGCCATGTGCATACACTACAGCTAGGGCTGCATACACACTTGACAAGTCATCTCCTTCTAACAATCTTATTGAGATGAAATCCCCATTTTATAGATAGGGAGGGAAACTGATACAAAGTTAGGCAACTGTTCCAAGAGAGGAAACTCTAATGAATCTGAAATCTGATGCCACTCCCATTCTTCCTCTCCCAACATGCCACCTTTGCCATTTTAACATAGATTCCTTTCCAAGGCTGCTCTCAGGCATGTGTAGGGAAAATAAAAACCAGAAAGCTTTGGTTGTACCAAGTGGATCTTGCTCTTTGATATAAGTGAAAATAACCAAAGGTTTTCTTCTTTCTCTTCCAGGACACAAATAGCAATAGCACTGGAAGTATGAAGGCTGTGCTTGTTCACTGTGGCTGAAGCATTGGAAGAAAGCCTAAAAGGTTTCCTGATGGGCAAGTGACAAGCAGGAGAGAAGGCCTGGTTTCAAAACTCCTAAATATCCCAGCATCCCTGCCACACTTCTGTAGTTTATGGAAGAGTTGTCAGTTACACACTTTGTGCATGTATGTGACAACACTATCAGTACTCTGAGAGGATATTATTTTCTAAAGTATTCAGGAGAGAATACAGAAACTGAGGGAGGTTTCATGGCTTACATGGCATTTTACATTCTCTGAGTACCATCCAGGCTCTGTCCTAAGCTCCACCCAAGTCTCTTTGCATGAAGATGACAAGGCCCAAAGGCAGGACAAATGGTGACCAGAGCAGCCCATCCTTTGGCTCCCCTCCCCTAATTGATGGTGCTGGAAATGCAATAACTGTGCAGTGCTTTGCTACTCCTGATAATTGGATGGCCTGCAGCCTGGAAACCAGCTATGATTGTGCCTGTGGGTGCAGCTCAATCCAGCCATACAACAGCTGATGAGGTGGGTGTCTTTGGCAGGTGAGGAAACTGAAGAATTTAAACTCAAGCCCATAACCCACATCAGGGTTCTCAGTGTGGTCCTGGCAGTCCCTGGGGCTCTTATGAGAATCTCAGTCCTATACCTCATAGAAGCCATTATATCCTTAAGGATGGAGAAGCACGGAGAGAAGGAGCACGTAGCCCCAGGAACTCGCTCAGGCTATGAAGCCCAGGCTCACTCCTACATAGCCACACCTGGCCCATACAGCCATCATATGTGTGCATCTGCCACACATTTTCCCTGGGGTCTGTGCACCAGGTTCTCTTTGACTGTGGGTTGTGTAATTCATCATGCATTGACTTGGGCAATCAAGAGCATTAGCTTCTCGTGACAAAGGCCCAGGTAAGTCACATCAAAACCAAACCAAAGAGGCTTCTCAGGTGGAGGCAAAGACTTCTTGACCACTGACTATAGGCTCAAGAAGGGGAGATCCCGGTGGGGCCTGGGCAACCAGCCAGAAAATTGCAATCCTAACCAGTGAGATTTCACCTAGTTCCTGGGTTTGCTGGGACAGGGCTGTTGGTGGCAGTCCTATGAGTTTGGGTCTCAGTGTCTTCATGGAGGCTGTGTGCTGATTCTTGAGCAAGAGCCTTGTGCAAGTGGAAGTGGAGACCCAAGTGGTGGAGAAAGTAACTTTCATGTCCACACTCGAGACCATGACCCAGGCAGGGTTTCATTTACCATGTTACCCTACACAGCCTATCTGGTTATCTCTCCCATTTCCCAGATGGGCAAACAGAGGCTCCATTTTCTTTGCTGGCTTTTTTCAGGGCTGGGTTCTGAGAACCACTAGGAGGATTTACTGGGTGCTGGTTTCCAGTTAAGCAATTAAGGACTAGGGCTTGGGAGGGGGAAGCACTTATTTTCAAAGTCTTCAGGACTAAGATGCTTTGCAAGCTTCAGGTATTGAGAAGGACACACTGTGTGTGAGCTTTCAAACAAGAGTCCCATGGGTAAGAAATGCTTGTTTTTTGGTTCCATAGGCAAAGAACCTTTTATAAATAGGTGGTGACTGTCTGACATCTTCTCAGTTGAGGATTCATCCCAGAAATATTTGGTATGGAGTCGATTTACATTTCCCAGCAGAAGACTTATCAGCAATGGCAGCTGACTTTACTACAGTCCTATTAGCAGCCAGGAGCCCTTGGACTTACTCTAATCAGTGAATTAATCATTGTGCCAGGCAGGAATGCTCAGCTTTAAAGACATGCAAGTTCATCATTGCCAGGTTCCTCTACTTAAGCAGTTTGGAAGGGAGGGTATAGCCTCTGCCCCACCGCCCAGAGCACCTCTTCTAGCTGAACCTAAGGTGAGGGGAGGTAGTACTTCCCTCTTCTTGCTCTCTTTCCCTTCCTTCTAGATATTCTCAAGAGGGAGGCCCTTATTCTACTCTCTTAGATAGGATTATGTTGAGAAAATAGGGTGGTCAGGGACTCATAGAGACCCAAGAGAGGCAGGGCTCCAGTATGGGCACCTCTTCTGGCCTGGAGTGGGAGTAGAGCAGTCCAGAGACCAGACTCCCTGTTTCGTCCCAGATGCCCATCCATCCCTCCTTCAATTGTGTCCCTTAAAACCACAGATGCAAGACACAACATAACACATTCTTGGAGCAGAGGTTCCTGGCACTTCCTCATAAACATGCCCATGAAAGTCAAACCGAATTAATAGAAAAGCAATAGCCCAAGGTGAGATTCTAAACTTGTTAGACTCATTGTTGACATATGCTTCCTGTATCTATTTAATTAAGTGGGATCACTTCTCATATTTCTTCTGGCCTCATTTGGGAGGGCATCTGTTAGTTTTAAAAAATGTATGAGAACTAACAGTTGTCTAGAGCTTTGTAGTACTTTGCAAAATATCTTGGTGTCTGTGATCTCATTGTCTTATCCAAGAATTGTATGCTACGGTTAATTCAGATTTTAATACTCCCAAATTACAAATGAGAAAACTGAGGCTCATAGACTTTATGAAACTTGTTCAGGGTCACCTGTCCAAGGTGAGTGACCAAAATCTCCGACTCATGGTTCAGATACAGCAGACCTCCTTCACAGACTTGAAATCTGATTGCTTTATGCTTTTGCTGTAGTTACTTGTCTATTTGCCAGGATTGGTTTCTGTCTACCACATGATGTAATGCAAGACATCAATATTGAACAAGTACTGTTCTGATAGAAGAATAAAGTGCACTCACATTCCTTGGTGTTGGGAGGTGCAAGGAGACAGGAATAGCAGACCATACCATATATGTTCCTGGGTCTGTTTTCCAATATGTAGTACCTATAGGAGGGAAAAACAAGATAAAGCAGGCAGGTGAGTCAGGTGTTACCACAAGCAAGTGCTGAGCACTTGCCATACCCATGACCACAGCCTGACCCAAGTTGGGCCGAAACAAACACCTGGGAATCAGGAGCCCTGCTGAGTTAGCGGCCCATTTTGATTACTATGGGGTTCTCAGCTTGTCTTAAGATAGAATTTTTTCCTCCAATATTGAGCCATTTTGAGTATTAAAAAAATCTCCTCCCCTTTTTGATTCTTTTCACTGATGAATTTGTTTAGCATATATATGTAATCACCATTTTCATCAACACCATCCACTTGAAATATCTGCATACCCAACCTCTGTATGCCCTGTTTAACACTTTGGGTGTCTTGCCAACCAGAGACCCAGGCATCTTTGGAGGAGGAACACCCCCTCTGCAAATGCCCATCTCAGAGTCTGTAGCTTGGTGGGTTTACAGGTAGATGTGTCTACGCCTATGACACTGGGACCTCCCAGTGAGTACCTGCTGACGAATAGTGAATGGTGATAGCCATCAAAACATGGGTTATATCTAGAGAAGTCACTGCAGAGAGGTTTAGAGATAGCCTAAGGTACAACAAGGTGATAACTGAAATTTATTTGCTTTCTCCTCAGGAAGCACTGAACAAAAGACACTTATATATGTTCATGCTGGGCTTGTATACACTTAAAGAAATGGACAAACCCTTCACAGTAAGACTCTAAAGTCTTTTACCCCCCACTGATGTTCTCTTATGTCTTTCAAGCTTCCTCATGTCAGTATGCCAGGCCCATGACCATGCTGACTCTCAGAACACCCTGCCCACAGAGCTCTGCCACCATGGGTCAAAATTCTATGCAGGCCACACCACCTCTTGGACCTCCACCTCCTGGACCTCCCCTCCAGGCTTTGCAGCTTAGACCCCTTGCCACCTGCATGCTTTGGCACTTTTCTTGGTGTATACTTGTTTTCCATAAACATATATTCAATAATCATGAAGCCATCTATTTCATTGTTAGAAATCAAATTTTTAATTTTTCTTTTTATTTTTTATTGTTGTTCAATACAGTTGTCTCCCTTTTCTCTGTACCACTGCCCCCAACCCCAGCAATCCCCACTTCCCACCCTTGATTTTACCCCCTTTGGTTTTGTCCATGTGTCCTTTATACATGTTCCTGAAAAAAAAATGAGCTGAATGTTCTCCCTTACCACAATTTCAAAAAATGAAAAATCCCTCTCTGCTGTTGAATTTTCCCACGGTTGTTTTAAATTTTTTTTTGTATTAGCTGTGCACAACCCTGGCTGGTGGCAGCAGTAAGTGGTAGCATGGTGGAGTGCTGGGGAGTCTTCAGACTCCATCCTCCATGAACTGGACGATTACCAGTAACATTATAATCATAATTACCTGCTCTTCCTCAGAGCCTTTTATCCTCAGATTCCTGTGTGTCTTATAAACATTAATTAACCAATCTCAAAACATCTCTCAGAAGCCCCAACAGCCAGTTTCACAATTAAGCCTTCTGTAAAAAGCCTCTTTCAAGCACATATTCTGTCACCCTCCAGAAGCCATCTGTGTTCAGGAAGCAGGAAGCCATGCTGAGGCCCCAGTGCTTCTGTTCCCAGGAGAGGGCGCATGTCTGCATGTGGCCTCATGAGGGTGACAGGCTCCAGGTCAGTCCTCTTGCATGTTTTTGACATCCAGACCCAGTGTGAACCCCAAGAAGGAATATATCTGCCAAGAAGGACTCCTCGTAGTTAACTTGGCAAAAATTCATAACCAGAGTTTAGAAGCCATTGTTGACAGAGGCTTTTCATTCTGCATTTCAGGGAAAAGCTGAAAATTGAACCTTTGGCTTCTTGCACTGTGCTCCTGCGGGTTGAATCAACCTTTTCCATTCCAACCAGGAATGGAGTCCTGATATTGTATTTTGACTACTGGGCTGAAACCTGCCCCATCCAATTGAAACTACCCAGCTATAACTTCATTTGCATCTTTACTAACCAATCAGAGCTGCTCCATAACAACCAATCAGAACACATGAACCTGGCTGATCAGCACAGTGTTATTTGGACTTCTCATTTGCATAAAAATAGACCAACCAGGGACTATGATGGGGACTTTTGTGTGTGTGTGTTTTTAATTTTTAAAATTTTTTATTTTATTGATTATGCCATTATAGTTGTTCTATTCTCCCTATTCCTCCCCACCCCCACCATTCTCCCTTTAGTTTATGACCATGTGTCTCAAGTTCTTTAGATTCTATATTTCCCATACTATTCTTGTTCTCCCCCTATCTATTTTCTACCTACCGTCTATGCTACTTATTTTTTGTACCTTCTCCCCCCTTCTCCTCCTCCCACTCCCCTGTTGCTAACCCTCCATGTGATCTCCATTTCTATGGTTCTGCTCCTGATCTAGCTTAGCTTAGTTCTGCTCCTCTTAGTTTGCTTTTGTTTTACGTGTGGTTGTTAATAACTGTGAGTTTGCTGTCCTTTCACTGTTCATCTTTTTCATCTTCTTTTTCTTAGGTAAGTCCCTTTAACATTTCATATAATAAAGGCTTGGTGATGATGAACTCCTTGAATTTGATCTTATCCGAGAAGCACTTTATCTGTCCTTCCATTCTAAATGAAAGCTTTGCTGGATAGAGCAATCTTGGATGTAGGTCTTTGGATTTCATGACTTGGAATACTTCTTTCCAGCCCCTTCTTGCCTGTAAGGTCTCTTTTGAGAAATCAGCTGACAGTCTGATGGGAACTCCTTTGTAGGTGACTGTCCTCTTAGCTCTTGCTGCTTCTAGGATTCTCTCCTTCATTTGAATCTTGGCTAATATAATGATGATGTTCCTTGGTGTGTTCCTCCTTGGGTCCAACTTCTTTGGGACTCTCTGAGCTTCCTGGATTTCCTGGAAGTCTATTTCCTTTGCCAGATTGGGGAAGTTCTCCTTTATTATTTGTTCAAATAAGTTTTCCACTGGTGGCTGCTCCTTTCCCCCTTCTGGTACCCCTATAATTCGTATGTTGGAGTGTTTAAAGATGTCCTGGAGGTTCCTAAGTCTCTCCTCATTTTTTTGAATTTTTGTTTCTTCATATTTTCCTGTTTGGTCATTTTCTTCTTCTTTCTGGTCCTCTCCATTGATTTGAGACCCAGTTTCCTTTTCATCACTACTGGTTTCCTGTGCAATTCCCTTCATTTCAATTTGTTTAGCCTTCATATGTTCCTCTAATTTGTGACTAAAATCAACCAGTTCTGTGAGCATCCTGATCACCAGTGTTTTGAACTGTGCATCTGAAAGTTTGCCTATTTCTTGGTCACTTAGAGTTATGGGCTCTGGGGCTTTGAGATCTTCTTGAGCCATTTTTGGTCTGTTCGCACCCATTAAGTATGAGGAGCGGAGCTTTAGGAGCGGGGCTGGTCGACCAGGGCTAGGTCGCTGGGTTGTGACGCTGTAGTGGGGGCGGGGTCAGAGTTGGGAAATGGCGGCCCTCTCTGCTGCCTCCTGCTGCTGGGGCCCGCTGGGTCCCGTCTCACTGCCCACTCCCTCGCCAGTCTATCGGTCAGGCTGAAGCATTCATTGTTATCAGACTTCTGAAAAGTTCAATTTTCTGTGTTCTGGTTGTGTTTTCTGTTGCTAATATTTTGTTGTCTCTAAACTTGGTTGTGTGAGAAAGCACGATGTCTCCACCTATGCCTCCATCTTGGCGGAAGTCTAGGACTTTTTCTATAAAAACTGGCCTTCCCTTTATCTTGGTGGAGCATACCTTGAGTTTCCACTAGAGGCTGCTTCTCCTGTTTTTGCAAACTCTTTACCTGAGTAGAGTTTCTCATTTTACCATACCCCAAGCTGAGGACCACTGTTGGCATTAGACTTGAGAGCAGAGACCTTTTGCTGACACTACTATTATTTGCTCCTCTTCTTATATCCACCTCCAACTGCATTTTTCTCACTCAGATTGTGACTGTTCCTGACCTAGGAGTCTCTCAGGGCCAGCCTTGTTCATACTTGCATTCCTAGTAGTACCTTGTGCTAGGCACTGAGGAGAGAAGGTTTTAGGCAAATATTGACTGGAAAAGAAGTGAATGAGACCAAATTTTTCTCTATGGAAGTTTAAAGTACTGAGACTGACAGAAGATCTAATGCATTTTGTACATCTTTGCCCTTTTCAAAAAGAAGAACGACAGCTAAGTTCATCCTGGTTAATCCCCTGGTGCTGAACTCCATTTTGGATGAAGACCCATAGCTACCTGGGTGGGTGTAGAACTCGGCACCCAGTGGGTCCCTGGGGACACCAGTGGGGACTGTACCCTGGGATCAGTCAGCTCCTTTTTCTGGGCATGGAGGCACCTTCTTGGCAGGCTGAGTGGGCATCTCTTTCTGATTCCCACAAGGCTCTAATGGCTGAAGCTGCATCTCTTGTCCTGACTATGTGTCTGCACCAAGCTATGAAACATTAAATAACTTAGTTGAAAGACCAATTATAGCCAAAAGATGGCTATAATTTTTTAAAATGTTGTCTCTTGGAGGCTGTTATGAAATCATGAGTGTTAAATATGTCATACATTTCCTAGCATGTATTGCACAGAACATTTTTAAATGTTAGGTTTTTTTGTTTAGGACTAACCTCAACTCCTCATGGTTTAGTTCACCCCCATAACTCTCATTCCCTGCTAGGCAGGAGTGGAAAGCAATTGTTTAGCTTCTTCTAGCAACTTGAAGCTGGGTGTTCATTTAGGAAGCTGTGCCCTACTAAAGAGTATCAGGTCCCTTTGTCTTGCTGTAAATGTCAAGTTTTCTACTCTTTGATCTCCATTTTGTCTTTTCCTTAGATTTTTTTCTTTCTGCTTTTCTTCCAGGGTTGATTAAGGTGAGTAACACAAGACAAGACTCAGTTTAAATGTGACCTTTGGAATCTTCTATGTATGTAGATTTTCTTCAAAGATTCCTTTTTCTCAGGGCTCCTAACTTTGTGCTGGATGCTACTGAGCTCTTTGATGTTCCGTCTGCCTGCTACAGTATCCGGATGTAGAAGCTACTTCTGCATTCTCTGCCTGTGTCCTCCAACCATCCTCAAATGCCTTGTCTTCAGGGAATGGACAGAGTGTAGCAACAAGCCAGAGGGAGCTTCTCCAATGGGTCACATAATGCCCTGAGGAAGGTTATGAAATTTCACCTCTTCTTTTATCCTCTTCTCATATTTTGTTCCCTGGTCCTCCCACATAAGCCCTTCTCTACAGGAAAGCCCCATATACTGCTCATTGTTTAGCCAGTGTCTCGCCCATGTACTGATACACAGCAGATGACAAAGAATAAGTAGAGAGTGCTTGCCAAACCACAAGGGTGGAGTGGGCCAAGGCAACCTGTGGTGTCAGGAAGACAAATGGGAGGCAGTCTGCGTCTGCAACCTGGGGACCACAGGGATTTGGGAATAGAAACAACCTTTCATGGAGCTGATAGCACTAACTTGCAAAAACTCCTTGTAATCCTTCTTTGTGACATACCATGAGAGCTTTATATTGTTTTCAAAACCTAGGGTATGTAATAGGAAGTGGGAGGCCATTGGGACCCTACCCTGATAAAGCATTGTGCTTATTTAGAGCCAGTATAAGGAGGTTGGGGACTGGAGATAAAGTACAGTTGCCGGCCTCCCGACTAATTCTACTGATGATTGCCCTTATGTTTTGAAGCCTTGTAGAGACAGAGAGCTCATGACCATTCCATTGTCAAACTTCTTTCTGGTAAAAGTGTCAGGACCAAGCAAATTGTTTTCATTGCTATTGCCTTTCTAGTAGCCAAGCTAGCACCTGTCTATGGGACAGGTCATTTATTGTGTTCACCCCATGGCTTGTTCTTTCTGGCTAGAATGTCTCTGTGAGTCCAGGTAAAAAGGAAACAGGCTGCTCCAAGTGCATATTCACTACCCCTTTGAAATAATCTGGAATAAAACATGGCTGAGTCTCACAGACAATTGTGTATGCACGCATGGGTCTGAAATGCAGTTGGGTTAGAGCTAGCAATGCTGATGGGCCAGGGTCCATCTTGCACCCTTTCTCTTCCTCCTCCATGGAGCTGCTTTACTGGGAGATCTTATCTGGACCAGTCTCTCCCACACCATTAATGGGTAGGTGACTTCCATATCTGACCTGAGCTTTGTACCTTTTTATCCACCTACATGTTCAATACATTGGTCTGGATGTCACAACAACCTCAAAGTCCACACATATCTCCACCTCCCCACCAAAATTCTTCCTTTTGTATTCTAGTAAATTGCATCACTATTCACAATGCTGGCCAAGGCAGACATCTGAGAATCCTTTTTATAATCTCTTTCTTCAAATCCCACATGCACTCAGTCTGCAACTTCAGTCTTTGCTGTCTTCCAACAAGCAGTTGAATTTCTCCTCTCCCTCCAATGTCCAATGCTTCCACCTTGCCCTGGTCTTTACAACTTCCCATCTTATCCCTGTTACCCAGGCTCCTGTCTCTTCCTTAATCAACACTTTATCTTCATTGCTGCCAAGAGGGTCATTCTAAGGTACAGCCTGATTAATGACCTGCATTAGCACCAAGCAGAAGACTTGAGTCCTCAGCATCATTTTCTAGAGTCCTCTCCCTCACTAGTTTCTCCACATCCAGCTGCATGTACCTTCCACTTGGCCACAGGGATTCATAGCTCCACATCCTCAGACTCCTCCCACCTTGGAGCTTTGGCTGGAGCATTTGCACTTGGAGAGCTCTGTTCCACTTCTTAGCCATCCCTGTGTCACTCTGAGAAGTCTTCTAAGACCTCTCCTGATCCCAGCTACAGAATAATGGCCCTTTCTTGACTTCTAGAATATTGTGGGTACCTACCACACTGTGGTCACTGATATTTTTGTATTTCTCCTCCACTGAAAAAAGAGGAACCAGGTCTTTCCTCTTTGTCTCACTAGTACCTACATGATACACTCTTAATTCAAAGGTTTACTAAAATAAATGCTGGAGCCGTTATGGTAGGTTGTGAATGTCAGGTCAGATTCTCACACTGACAGGCTCCTAAAATAAGTTGAGATTTTATGAAAAGAATTATTTTCTTTCCAAGCTAAGCATGGCAAGGGGGACATGCTTTTTCTCTGCATATCTATAGTCAATCTACGCAACTGCATTTTTCATGAATTATGTACCTGCACCAATAAAAATGATCAAGATAAAGTTCCACGAATTGTATAAGGTATCAGAGACTGATTCTAGCCATCTAAATTCAAGATCCTACTAAACTTCTCTCATTCAAGTTCAGTGTGCTTAGAGCAGTCGCTTGTACCAGACAGATGTTTATACCATTGGGTAGGGATGCACTGATTCTGCTTCTTCTTCTTGTGGAGCCCCCACAACACAATAACCTCAACAACTAAATTGAAGAGCACCAAGCTAGGGAACTTTTATCTACTCATGTTTTCTAAGGGAATAGTTCAATATCTTCTCTGGTTATGGCTACCTGTTTTTTTAAATATTGAAAAATAAGATTCTGCAATAGGTTCCCCTACTTTCTTTTTTCATTTGAAAAATATGCTTGAATCATACATTGTGTCAAAGAAATTGACATGGGGCTGTCCCTCAGATATTTAGATATGTAGGTCTGTAGCTCAGGAGGTGCTCTGAACTGAAGACAGAAAGCTAGGAAGTCTGAAGATAGGGGGCAAATCACCAGCAGAGAAATGGTGCTGGAAACCATGGGAATGGATGCTTTACAGTAACAAATTTGCACTAAGGTTAATTTCCATGAGTTTAAAATATCTTCTTATTTTAGCCCTAGCTGGTGTAGCTCAGAGAACTGAGCACAGGCTTGTGAACCAAAGCATCACCGGTTTGATTGCCAACCAGGGAATGTGCCTGGGTTGCAGGCCATGTCCCTAGTACAGGGTGTGCTAGAGGCAACCATACATTGATGTTTCACTCCTCCCTTCCCATTTATCTCTCTAAAATAAATAAATAAATAAATAACATCTTTAAAATTTTTTTCTTATTTTAGCCCTGGCTGGTATGGCTCAGTAGATTGAGAGCTGGCCTGTGAACCAAAGGGTAGCAGGTTCAATTCCCAGTCAGGGCACATGCCTGGGTTGAGGGCCATGTTGGGCCCTCAGTAGGGGGACGCATGAGAGGCAACCAGACACATTGATGTTTCTCTTCCTTTCTCCTTCCATTCTCCTCTCTCTAAAAATAAATAAATAAAATATTAAAATAAAATAAAATATCTTCTTATATTAAAGTTATTTACTTTCAACCTGTTCTTAAATTGGTGGGACCTTCTGCCTCTTTTGTCCTTCCTGTTTTTTACAGATTAATGCCCAGTGTTCTTATTTGCATATATTCTTATTTTCTTCTTCCTCTCAATTCAATATGGCGAGATGACAGGTACACAAGCTGGTTGTAAAGTACAGTGCCCTATGTGAAATGCTGCTGCCACCATGACCAACACCATCACCTCCACCACAACCATCTCCAATATCACTGCCTCCATCATTATCACCACCAGCACTACCCTCTACCACTTCTATCACACCTTGATCACTCTTTCACCTTCACCATGGCTTCTGGTTTCTGTGTAGCCCTTGCAGGCATTATGTTGTATGGCCACTAGAGGGAGGCAGCAGCAACGGCAGAAGCTTGGTTAGGTCCTATTTTCCTTATCTCAAGCAGAACTTGCTAATGTGTCCTGCTTGTATAAGGGAAGATTTTATCTTCATGTCTTTCAGGCTGATTACATTTGCATTTTTCTCTCTTGAGAAGATTTTTATACATAACAGTATTGTGATGTAATTATAGGTACCATATGACAAATATTACTATCAGTGGCTTTTACTCTCAGTTTTTCCCAGTACTAAAAATTCTAAAAATAATACATTTGTACATAATTTTCATTTTTTCTCCAGAGCATTCCCCATGTATTACCTCATTGTGTAGCCAACAAATTTGTTTGATTTAGGTAGTCAGGAGATATTACTATGACTGATGTTCACTTAAAGGACACAGAAGCTGATGTTGGGTCAGCTGCCTGCTTGTGAAAGGTAGCAGAACTTACCATCTATGATGCCAAGTTTCCTTATTCCAGGGATATGCCCCATCTCTACCAAGCTTCTCCTTGTAGAATGGTACAGCAGGCATGACACTACACTGCAGGCCTGAGGTGCTCATGTTCCCAGGGGTCCTCACCAATTAGATATTAAGGGCTTTCTAAAGAATGTGTCCAAAGGTGTGGTTTGAAGCACCATGTGCTTACCCAGGGAGACAAGGCCCACACTCAGCATCATTCTCCATGTCTCCTGGCATCAACACAGTGGCCCGGAAGAAGCCTTCGCAGTCTTTGTGGCGCCTGCATATCTGGTAGCCTCCTTTGGAAAACTTCTCTGCTGGGCAAGGGATGCAGCCATAGTCCTCATCTTTGGTGCCATAGCCACAGGACTGGCCAAGGAAGAGGACAGAGGACACAGGTGAGTACAGTGGTTGTGCTTGCCATGACCAAACCTGCAGTCTTTGGGCACATCAGACACATTGGGCACACCGGATGCACTGTGCACTGATTTAGCTTAGGGACCAGTTGTAGAGGAGCCCAAAGTAGGGTGACAACACTCTATGAAGGAGGGAGAGCTCACCAGGCCTGGACAGGGGAGGGGGACTGTAGTCTGTCTGCCAGGAGCGGGGCCTTACCAGGTATGGTTCCTCCCCAGGCCCACACTGGGGACACTCATGGCACAACCCCGTGGTCTGGTTGTAGTACTCATTCTCACCGCAGTTGGAGTATTCTGCTCTGGCAGAGCACATCAGAGATACCTGCCACAAGATAGGAATGGTTTGTTTGACTTCCATACCTTCTTGAAGACACACATAGTTACTTGGGGGTTAATGCCCAGACAGCCCCAAGGCTGGGTGAGGAGGGAGCCTGATGGTGGGAGACCCACTCAGTCAGCACTTATCTGATGCCTCATCTCCAGGAACTTTAGCTAACAAACTGGGCAGACAACCTTGCCTGCACAGTCTGACCTCACTCCTGCCTCCCTTTCCCCCATCCATCCAATCTTCAAGACATTATCCAAACTATCTTCACGTAAGTAATCTTTGTTTCATTCTTTACAAAGTCATTAATGAGGCAGCTCCTTTCTCTAGCCTCTGGAACAGCAGGTCTCTCAGTCACATGGTATCTCTCTCTACCTGAGGAAGAGTCCTGTGGTAAAGGCCTGGGTCTTTCTCATTTGTTTGGTCCACAGATGTGGCTCATCACACAGGCTTGGTTGTGTATATCACAATGCAAATAAGCATTTTGGGATATTTGTATCCATGTAATCCTATAAAAGGAGCCACCAACTAGGGAAGTTTAATTTGAACACAGGAACTGTTCAGGCCATTGTAGGCATTATCTTTTTGCATCATCAGCACTCAGTGAAGAAGGTGCTATTATTGTTCTCATTTTATAGCCAGGTAAACTGAGGCTTAAGAAGCCAAGGAGCCTGACCCAGGTGGTATGGCTGGTGATAGACACAGATTGGATGGGAGCTCCCTCTGGAATCTATACCAGGGCCACTATGGGTACTCTCTGGGTCAAGAGTACAGTGTGGGCAGCCCAGGTGCTGTGACCTACTTACCACTAGGACAGGGAGCCAGGGCATCTGCTTGTAGTCTCCCAAATGGGCCATCCTCTCCCACACGTTCACCTAAAGACACACTTCATCAGTAGCAGTAGCCTACAGGACCTGAGGCAGCTCCAGGGCTGACTGGCTGAGGCCCTGCCCCTACCCTGGGTCTGGCTGCCTTCCTTGTATCCTCCTGGGTCTGAGGGACCCCCAAGCAAGAAGAGTGAGGAACAGATATGCTCTAAAAGAAAAGGCAGATTTAAACTGAGCCCCAGGCCCCTTGGACTGACTGGCCCCTTTCCCAGCGTTACCCCATCCCTGGGGAAGAGCTCCAGAGAGGAGGGACCAGAGCACACTCAATTTACGGTACCCGGAGTTGGGACAGTGGAAGAAGGGAGCGCTTTGTGGGTGTGTTACCGAACAAGAGGTCCGAGGGAGGGGCAATACAATATTTGGCCCACCTAGGGATGCCCAAAACTGCTATACAACAGGAGCCCCTCCCCCCCCCAAAATACTAAAATCTACTGGGCTCTTCTGTCCGCCGCCAATTGGAAAGACATCTCTCAATGCCAGAGATTTGTGAAAAGGAAACAAAATGTTTATTTAATGCTATTCAAGCCTAATGCCTCCACTAAAATATCAAAGTCCTTTAGGTTGTACACCTACACCCACACAGCACTCCCTTCTCCCACTGTCCCAACTCCGGGTACCGTAAATCAGGAAAAGAGCACACGTCTGTGTTGCAGGTCGCTGGCACTGTCAGCTGTGTCACCATGCAGGCAGGATCTCTCTAGTTAATCCAAAGTACTGTGGTACCCTCTCATGGTCCACTGGCAAGGGTTCTTTGTACCCAGTTCCAGTCAAAGTCTCTCTTGCTTTCCAGGCCACACGGCCAAAGGGAGCACCCCAAAGCTGCGTGGGCCTCTTCTACCAAAGCTGCAGGGGTTCGAGTTCCACCAAAAATGCATTGTCTGTCTTCTTCACCTGGCTGCACGGATCTCCATTCAGGCAAAGCTGCATGGTTTTTCCCTTTCATTTGGGCAGTTATTGCCTCATGTTCTGGAGCCAGTCTTTTCCAAGCTCTCACACAGGCCTCCTCACTCTGGGGCGCAGCCCCTAGTTTCCTTCTGAGTCCAAGCCCTTCTCACTCAGGAGCGCAGCCCCCTTGTTACATCCTGAGTCCCAGCTACTCCCTTCTCCCTGGCTCCAAACTTGGCCACTGCTATTTAACATATCTATGAAACCAGTTAAAGGTTATACATATGTTAAATAACCATTCCAGAGGTTAGCTCCAAAACTGTTGCTATGCAAAACAGCTCTCAATGGCCTGGCTCCATTCGTTTCTTCCCCCTGGGGGGAGGTGTGAGGACCTCTTATATGTCTCTCCAATATTCCTATACACTTTGAATTCTGGACACTATTCCAAATCTTTTTTGGGGGGCCCCCTGGCTGCACCCTGTATCAGGTATAGGTGTATACCCTACAGGACTTTGATATTTTAGTGGAGGCGTTAGGCCTGAATAGCATTAAATAAACATTTTGTTTCCTTTTCACAAATCTCTGGCATTGAGAGATCTTTCCAATTGGCAGCAGACAGAAGAGCCCAGCAGATATTAGTATTCTGTCCTTGGGAGGGGCCCCTGTTATGTAGCAATATTTGGCATCCCTAGGTGGGCCAAATATTGTATTGCCCCCCCCCCACCCCAGACCTCTTGTTTGGTAACAGAAGGAGGAAAGAATACACATTTAGCAGAAGCACCTTACATAAATGTATAGCAAGAAGCCAAGGAGGGACAAATTTGAAGAGCTTCAAGTCCACCTGCCTCATCTTCAGCCTCCCTTCCAGGGAGCATGTGGCTCTTGCTCCCCTCAACTCCAGGATGCCCGTCCAACCCCTCACTTCCATCTCCTCACCCCTGCTGCCTGCATAAGCAACAAGCACCCATACTTCCCTAAGAAGAGACCTGGTAAAATCAAACTTTAGCTATCCTGCTTACTTAGCATTACAACTAACAAAAAACCTGGAACACTGTGCAGGGTCAAGACAGGAAGAAATCACACAGACTGTCCACATTTGTATTTGTAAAAGTTTCTGTATACACAGGAGCAGGTCTGGAGTGACATCAACTGCATTTTCAACAAAATTTTTTTGGCAGCAATGAGATTGTGGTGGTGAATAAGGATTGAGGGAAGTTTGTGGGGAAAATTCCTTTTTCGTATAGTTCCTAACATCTAAAAGATTTAGAAGAGTACGTATGAACTTTATGATCAGGAAAAAAGGACAATAAAGACATTTTGTGGGGGAAGAAGTGCATCTGTGTTCAGAGGATGGGCAGGGGAAGGATGTCCCATGGGGTCTGGATCTTTTCCAGGATCTTTGCCCTATGGGTGCTGTTACCTTGGACTATAGTCTCTCACCTAATGAGTAACATCAGGCGGACGTTGAGAAGAGGTGAGGTTTCAGGAATGTCTTGAAGAGATACAAAATTTCCCCTTTAGCGCTTTCCAGCATACTGTCTTGCAGTTCAGCACTGCATTTAGGTTTTATCTACTTATTTATTTTTAGACAGAGGGGAAGGGAGGGAGAGAGAGAAGGAGAGAAACATCAATGTGTGGTTGCCTCTCGCATGCCCCATACTGGGGACCTGGACCGCACGCAACCCAGGAATGTGTCCTGATTGGGAATCAACCCAGCAACCCTTTGATTCACAGGCCAGAACTTGATCCCCTGAGCCACACCAGCTAGGTGCCACATTTACTTTAGAAAGACACTAAATAGATGAAGGTGAGATTTGAGCACCCAGCCCCCACCATGGTGAAATCCTGCATGCTTTCCTTCTAGCAGTGAGCAAGCTGGGGTAGGTAGAGTGGGAAGCTGAGGGAGGCCTGACCTGCAGTTTTGCTAGGTGGGTAGTGTAGGGTGCAAACAAAGGCCAACAGGGAACTTAGAGTTCATGTTCCCTTGCACTCTGAGGGAACTCACTGACAACCTGGCCTTTCCTTTAGGACAGTGTGTAGCAGAGACAGGTTTCCACTGAGTCAGGCCAGAGGCTCTCCCAAGGTAAGCTGATGCTTGAAGGACTTCCAAGAACACCACACGGGATTCTAACTTAACTGACTTCTAATTATAGCTGACCTTGGGAGGGATTCCTTATAAACATGGAGAAGGGTTGGCTGCAGTGTCAACTAGGAGCACTCAATGAAAGGTTTTTTAAAAGATGTTCCCAGGCTAATGGAAGGAGACAGGAAAGGAAAACAAATAAATATGCAAAGCTAAACAAAAATTTGTAGCTTGGATGCATTGTTATTATTATCACCAATTCTCCAAGAAGGCAAGTCGGTCAGGGAAGGAAGCTGAGGGCAGCCCTCTCTTTAGGATTTCATTTCTGAGGTCTGATGGGCCTTCAAAGAATACAGCTATTCCTCTGGAAGGAGTCCAATAAGCTTATGGGTCATCCCCTTCTGGTTGGCTTTGGAAATCCCCAAACCCCTATGCAGGGCAGGGCAGGGCAGGGCAGTGCAGTGAAAGGTTGATGCCCACCAGCTGCAGAGATCAGAGTGGGAGGAGCTGAGCAGGTGCTCTGCATCCTGACATGAGTTCTGTGCCCTCCCTAACTGTAAGGGTAAAGGGGAAATGGGTGTGGGGGGGCCAAAAACCATCTTCCCATAATCTAGTACACAAGGCTACTGATAACTTTGTAGAATTGGCTGATTGGTTAATGGTCTAGTTCAGGGATCTGCAGCCAGCAGTAAGGCCTGGATATGAATCCAGCCACCACCTGTAAACACAGTGCCATAGCATCTCTTATGATCTCGTGACTGTGGCTGCTTTCGTGTCAACACAGAGAGCCTGTCATTAAGCTCTGACCACCCTGTCCTAGTTGACTGCTTCTCCTTCCTCCCACTGACTCTTTACTTCTCTGTCTTGTGGCTATTCCTTTCTCAACACTATTTCCACCTAAAATAATGACACAACAATACAAAACAACAGGTTATGACTATTGAAACACTGAGCTCTGCCCAGGCATTGCCCCGACTTGATTCTCACTACCTTATGTGAGCTCTACATCAGGCTTAGTGGGGAGAATGGGCTTGAACTATAGGCCCATTTAGAGAGATATATGTCACTGAAATGACTGGTGTGTTTTGTTTCTGTGCTATCCTTTGATCTCAGCCAGGGAATCCTGGACCTGCTGTTAACCAAATAGGGAACAAAATTATATTGATTCAGCAAGAGCTGAATGAATGACATTTTGCTTGGGCAAGTTATGTCCCCTTTTGGTGGCTCAGTAAAATGAAGATAACAAGAATGCTCACCTCACCTGAGAAAGGGAGACAGGAGGATTCCCCAACTAAAACCTGGCCTCTCCTCTGTTACCACCTTTTCAGTACCAGTCTAGGCATTTCTGGCATGAAGTTTTCCTGTAACAACATCCTGTAATGGCAAGCCTTTGGCCAATACCAGGCAGTCTGATCTCTGGATATTGGGCTGGGGATGGTGCTCTGGGAACAGCCATTGGTGTTGGGTTCCAAGTCTTCTGGTGCTGTCAGTGGTACTGTAGGCACCATGCAGATTTGCCTGAGCTAAGCACTGCTAAGGCCCTGTCCTTCCACCACCCCTTTTCCTCCACCCTCTGCAGTTCTTTCTAACTCTAGAACTGGGAAAGAAAAGAAAAACAAAGTTTTCTTCCAAATGTGTAAGGCTTCTGCATTTCCTAACATGTAAAGTTTCTCTCACAAGCCATGGGAAGCAAGAATCAATCAGGAACAACTTGGAAAAATACTTGGGCCTAAAATATGAAGTTGGGCATCCATCAAGAAATCTTGATTGGTATCATGTCAACAGCACAGATAAGTATCTGACGAAACTTGCTCTGAGGTAAGATGGCTGCTGGGCACAAAAAAGACTTGTGGTAATTCATGGGGGTGGCCGTCAGCCATCTTGTGGTTTGTTAACCTTAGAGACCTGGAATTGGGATATAGTAACTGCAGTGTTTTGCTTACATTTATTCAAAAATATGAAGCATCTCCAGTCTAGTCCACTTCTGGGCTGGCATGGGGCTCGCAAGAAGGAG